TGTTTGCGGCTGAAACATCCAAAATATCAGCAAATTACTCGAGATCCTCACATGACCTTCATGAAATGGCTTGAAATTACAAATTTCGTCTTTTTGGATTGCAATCTGCTGTCACTTTCCACCAAATTTTCTTTCAAGACAATGAAGATCAATGGCATTGGCTACTGAGTGACCTAAAGACTGAACGATTTCAATTCCTCGCTCGAGAGATATTGGTGCAATTGCAACAACTTTTACTCAGGTGTGGCTTGGGACTGATCAATGCAAGTCATAAAGGCAGCTGTCCAACTTTGGTCGGTTTTCATGTTACCTGGAAATTGAGGTAGATATGGACACACGCTTTAGCTGTTTACACATGTCATTTCCAAAAGCCATATTATCAGGGTTACCTGGGAATTTTGTTCAACCAACATGTGATGCTTTGTCATCCTTCTAATCATGACTGTATCCTTCAGAGACCAAATGTTCATGGTCAGCTACGTAAGATTGTTTCCAATATGCAAGGAGATTGCTGAGATACAATACTTTGGTGTTAAATAATTCTGGACCTGTGGTCCTCATTGAAAATCCTGTGTAACCTATTCATGGACACAGAGCTATTTCCTGATCTGTACAATTTCTGGATCAAACATTGTAGCATTCTCACATTCTTCCAGTGTCCGTTTATAAGCCTTTAAAAGCTCCATCACAACATTCATTGCTTTCACAAAATGAGCATTCATTTGATCTTCACCATCCCTTACCTGTGATTATGAATACGATCTGTAAATAATCGAGTCTTGACCAGACAATCCAGTGATTGACGTCGATCCAGGCAATTGGTAAATGATGACATCCATCGTCCAAGTCAGCAGCCACAATACTACAAGATCAAGTTAGTCGCCGCTCATGATAAGCATAGTTGCATCTTAGACTGTTCTATCCTGTATCTTCACGTTTCCTTCTTTCTGTGATGGTTGATCATGACTTTCTATCAAAGTAAGTAGTTTATTCTTTTGTACGACTAGATTTGGCTGCTGCCTTTTGTTGTTTTAACACACGAATACGTTCTGCGGTCTCTGCGATCACTGACAGAGATCAAGTTTTCAACATATAGTTGGTCTTAGCTGTCTTTCTAAATATCTAAAAAAACAATCCTTCTGCAGACCTTTGGTTCAAATGGATATGTAACTGAAAACCACGCTCTGCTAACATTGTTGCGCAGTGGAATATCAATTAACTAATATGTGAATGTCCCTTATGTGGTATGCAGGTAACTAAACGTGAATCTCTCAATAAATTGATGAAGTAATTCAGGTAATACATATGGGAAACTAAACCTGAATATCTTCTCAAAAAGAGGAAGAAACGTAAATGTGACAAGATAAACTAAATATGATACAGATAATTGATGCAGAAGACACAATTCAAGAACCCCTTCCCTGGTTTCCAAACGAAGGTCAAGAGAATCCCACAACCGTGCAGATACAGCAATCTCCTGTAGATGGTATACTGGCAAGATCATTTGAAAAAAATAGACATCCTGGATAACCTGTTCATATCGAAATTTCTCAGAAAGGGTTTCAGTACAATTGTATGGGAGGAGCCTCCTCTTTCTCCCAATCCGCTGATTGTTCAACATTCCGAGACACTGAAATCCACGCTGACAGACACGTTCAGTAGAGATAGTACAACCCAGTACCTTAACAGGTTTTTAGTTACAGATCTTCTTAGACCCCAAAGGGGTATGGATGGCCCAGTCATCAAAGGTGCCGCGATTCGCTGTGCAGTGTTGTGTACAGATGTCTGGGTTAATTTTTTGTTTCAATTTGGAAGGATTAAACAACACTTGTGGACATTTGTGAGTGGGGCCTGTAAATTCATGTACATTATGCTGCTGCAACTGATTGTGACATTTTACTGACTTTTTTATTGTTAACCTAAAACTATATGTTTAAGATTAATGGATTATTCTGTGATCTTGTGTGGTTATTTACAACTTAGTTCTGTGTGTACCGGTTTCGGTGTTAACCTTTGTTTTTCAAGCTTGGAAGTCACCTCTTAACATTGGATAAACATACATAGGATTTTTTAAAACGTGTTTCTTAAATGGATTTTCATGTGTTACTTCAGTCATGTTTGGTTTGTGGTAAAGCATTATGCACAACGATATATTGACACCGACTATTCTTAAATAATCAAAAATCTCTAGCTGCATCAACAGGAATAAGCATATGTAAATATTTTGTTTACAGAATTCTACATCGTATTGTCCCTGCAAACTTTTTTTGCTTTTAGGAAGTGGGATCAAATAGGAGAAACGTTTTATGAAGGACTTCCAAATTTCAATGTTAATTTATCTGTTTATCAATAATGTATTAAGTTGCAGGCTTATCCTATCCCACACTACGCATTTCTTCCTTCTTCTTTCGATCCATATGTGGAGTGTTTCCAGCTTCTGAAAACAAGAACCCATCCCAGCATCACTATGGTCATCACCCAAAGACATGTGTCATTCACTGTAATCCTGTTCATTGTAACTTTGGACGGCCTTATCACCTGACTACCCTTGCCACGTCATTCTCTTACTCATCACCACCCTGTGGTGAATTGAGTTACTGGGAATACATTATTTTCTTTGGAAACTTTGAATAAGCTACCTCCGCATTCATTGCACAATTTACAACACTTTTTGTTGTGAGGATGGGTACCAAACATGATCATCGTCCGGTTTGGCTACATTGACGCTGAACTCCACAGCTGACCGTCATGACTGTTGTAGTGATTGCAGTGGGCGCTGCAGTGTGGACAAGCGCTGTCCCCACTGTACCCACCTCAAGGAGGAAGCTTTATGTTGTACTTACGCAAGTGCCACATGCAGGATGTCCATCATGAAGCCTCCTACGGCGTCTACCATCCCTGCCTTGTCAGTCGTAGATGATGGTGTCTCGGACAGTTTCCTCACCGACGATGTTCCCGTCACATCAGACCAACCGTTTGTCACCAGTGTACTTGTGTCCATGCCAAGGTCAGAGCAGCCAGCATCCTTTGACTTCCATGTGGGTTTCTCTAAAGGCGATACATCCAAGCCTCGACAGTCATCCTTCCGTCTGTTTGTCCTTCCCAGTCGTTCATCATCATCCATTCCTCCAGATGATGTTCCAGTAAATGCTGTGCTGAAGGACAAAGTCAGGATGGTCATGCTTCATCTTAGACTTGATGTTTCAGGGATCAACATTCGCTCGATCATCGTTCCAGTTCTAAGGATCGCTACTGTAGGTTTGATACTCAGGGTCCAGTTGCTCAAAATTCTCAGCATCGACTTCGTAATGGAGCTACAGATTTGTCACAGACCTCTCCTGTTCAACGTGATGATCAACATCATTTTGCTGCTTATGCTGAACAATCATCATATTGGTATCGCTGCTCTTCTACGAGTTACTCGTATCCATGGCATCGTCGGGATCGATCCCCCTCCTATGATACCCCCAACCGGTCGTCCTCTTCTCAGCGAGACTCTGTTAGGTTCTGTCTCCTTCACTGCTTCCGAGCATGTTGGTGACTTGCTTCATCTAAGGGACGAATAGGAACTTCCAACCCAAGCCGTACACACCACTGTAGATACAGCCGTAGTCCAAAGACCCAGTCTTTTTTTTCCGAGAACTGATCCATGCTGGCAGATTCCTTCCTCAGTCGCCTCCTGCAGAATGAATACATGATGCCATTGGCTTGGACTCCTCGAACAACGTCTTCACCCCATCAGCTAGTGTATCCAGCCAACCATCTTCCAGCCGAACGACTCCAGGTCTCAGCAAGGCACAATCCCGGAATCAACAATGTCAGAGCCGACTTCCATTCCCGACCAGACCAACCGTCGCCAACAAAATGGCGTCTCCACTTTTTGCCCACTTTACACATGCTCAAACACCTTTCCTCTTTGCCACCAGGTTCAAAACTCAACTTTCTCGATTCATCTCTCCCCCCCTGAACCTCATGCGTGAAACCACGATGCTCTGGCTATCCCGTGGGAGAAAATACATAAAAAGCAGCAACGGTGTACAGCATTCTCAGCCACAGCAGCAATTCAAGCATGTCAAAGAACTTCTGATAGGTCCTCAGGCAGGCCTCAGAGCCAGACAGCATTTCGAAGGTATTTTTTTGATGCAACAGCATTGTAAACTGCAGAGACAGTAGGGCGAAGCATGCAGAGTATGGTCTAACCAACATAGGACAACTTTTGTTCAACAAGTCAAGATTTATGCTACATCCAGCTTGATCAAGGGTGTAACAATTTGAAGCTAACTGCAGAGTAATGACATGGGCGGAATTCTCCTGCACTTTGAACTAACCTAGTGCAAGTGTAATGGTATGACTTCCCACCTCTAATGTGATGAAATCCTACAGCAATACCTCCTAGTATTTACCTTGCTAACGCCATCTTTTAACATGACAATGCTTGACTGCATACACCATGTGTAATAGCAGAATTCCTATAAATCACAATGTACAGTTCCTCCCATGGTCCTATAAATCACTAGACGTGAAATCTAAACAATAATTAGATGAAAGTTGTTGGACACCTACAACAGCATCATTGTGAACCAGAAACACTGTCACAGCTAGCATGGCACTACAGACCTACCGGTCGAACTCCAGTTAAGCAGTTGTTGACATTTTTCACCAATGTTGGAACAAGTTTTCATAGAATTCCATGTAAATGTTTGTCTGATAAGACTGAAGTGTTATAAATCAATACATTCAATTGGTTAATTATTTTGTAAAAAACAAAACTTTGCTTGTTAAGAAAAGATGTTGATAGGTAGCTACTTTTTCATATATATAACGTGATAAGTCTCCGTATTTATACAACAGAAGATGAATATAAATGCTGACAGAAATCTTTGTCAAGACAAATATTTGACAATTAATACTGTTGACTACACACCCCAGGTGAACTGCAGTTGCATGACACTATCGCTTTCTCAATGAGGTGGCTCTTATATACTTTATTACTTTTTCAGAATTAGCGTGCCATGTGGTACTCACCCATCTGGATGAAGTAGAGGATTGCTTCAAAGATCCCGAGAATCTGAACCAACTGTTTTCATCAGCGGAAGTACAGAGGAAAGTCGAGCATATTTCTCGGGAAGTAGGATTACCACCGAATGCCATCAGTTTTGTCCGAAACCATTCCTATGAAACACAAAGTGATACGAAGTCCACTGTCTTGTTTCTTCATACCTTCAAACAGATTATCAAGGCTGCTTGTGATCAGGAAGACAAAAGGGCAAGATTTGCAGCAGCTGTGGCTACACAAAACCGAGGGAAATGATGCATTTCATTTGTATTTTTAACTTTTTAACAAAATAATTCTGAATGCGGCTTCCATGTTATTAATTGATTGTAAACATGCCACAAAATGAGTCTATGGTTTGAAACCAAAGGATGCAGCCCTATTCTAATTGTTCAGATTTATCTCGGTTTCAGGCTGCTGGTCCCATATATACATGTATTGCATAGGCATCTGTTCACACTTAAGATTAAACCTGTATGTTTGGTCCAAACACTGAGTAAGATAAATTGATGAATAGGTTTGAACATATATTTCAAGAAGGCCACCACATTTATATTTCTATTAGTTATGTGCATAACTGATGGTGTAAGTACCGAGGCTCAAAGATGTTATATTTCTGTTATACTGAGAGTTCGCTTTATGCAACTCCAGTTTTCATTGTACATATGGTACTCAAGATAAAGGTTTATTCTACTCAATGTTTGCCAAGGATCACAACCTCAAAAGGTGATACATTAAATTGTGTGCAACTGTTGAAATAGCCAAAGACAATATTACGTAAAGACATGATTAATGAACGAATGTCCGTTGCCATATGCCACTATGCAAACAAACAACATGTGACCAATAATCAGTCGTGAGAATGAGAGTGTCTGACCCAAAGTGAGTGACAACTGACGTCTAATTCAGTCTGGCACCGTCATCTCATTCTCCTAATAAGTGTCTGGATGGCCTATTCTTCAGTAGGAGCATTGCTGAGATCCTGTAGAGTAGGGGACAGGACTTCGTGAGGGGGCAATCTGCAGCTTGTTCCACATGTGTTCGATAGGGTTGAGATCTTGTGACTGTGATGGCCACTCCATGTGGTCAATGGTCTCCTGTTTTAAGTAGGCATCAATTACACTCGCGCGATGGGTCATCTCAGTAACACACACCTGTCATTGTACCCTGCTGCAGGACATGGAGACTGGTTCTTCCAGCCCCGTAATCATGATTGGGCGGAGATGTTTGGCTACGTTGGAGTCCTGAAATAGGTATGATGATCTATGAAGTCTAGACTTCTATCTCGAATCATCAGTGAAAAGTGCTGGTCTGCCCAATTGACATGATCTTCAGCCCAATCCAAGCGTCCCTACCCGTGATGTCGGGTCGGTGGAATGCGAATGCCGTCCGTGACAGGGGAGTAGCCTCATGGAGAGGATTACGCACTGTCTGAGTAGAAACGATAAGGTCACTGGCGTTCTGCAGATCCTTTCTGAGTGTGGTGACAGTTTTGAACTGATGCCGTCTTGCTGCAACCAGGTGAAAATTGTCTTCACACTCTATGGTGGAACACTGTCGACCACGCTAGGTAGCTGCTCCCAAATGTCTGATATCAATTTCATGCCCTGTTGATCACACTTTGATAATGATGTGCAACAATCCATGATACATTGAAACACATATTTTCAAGCACCCTGTGCACATCCTAATCATTACTGCATGTGTCTGTCCATCATGAAATTAGGGGTTACCCAAGTCACTGTGTACCGGGATATTTCAATCTATTTCAATCTATTTGTTGGATGCTTTTTTGACATCATCAACACTTGATCCTTAGCAAACGTTGAGTAGTCTACATTAGCTGAGAGGAATGAAAACAATAATGACACCAAAGTTTGTTTCATTACCCTGGTTTGTGTTGATAAAAAAAAAAAATTCTCAAAAGAGCTTTAACTTTGTGTAAATAATAATATTTGTTGATAGTGCCTTGAAACAAACTTCATACTATCATATTTATTCAACTAGATGTACTAGACACCTGTTTGTACTGTATTTCTAAAAAAAATCTGTTTTGGGTTGTTATATTGCTTATTTCAGAAATTGCAATAATCATAATTTCTTCAAATACCTTACCTCTAATAAATCATAGTTATAAATTCTGTTTTGGTTATGTTTACACTATGAATCACTGCAAGCTATCTAATGAGTAGTTGTGCCGGAAACAGTATCAAATCTAATATACTGTGCCAGCGCGAGGTGAGAATACGTCACTTCTCTTCTGTGTGAGCTTGGATCAACAAGAATCTTTTTCCCAGATATTCAACTCACAATTTCGTTTATCTTCCCAACCATAATATATATGAAGGGTTTTCACAGTTAAAGTAGAATTCTACAAGTTAAATGTCATCGAGTAGTACGAGCAGTAACATAAAGTGATAATTACAACTATACTAGCCGCATAAAGAAACTGTGCACGGAGAAAATATATTCTGGATTGAAATACAACACAGCAAGAACAAATGATGCGGACGCTGTAGCAGCTGAATGATAGGACCACAATGTCAACGGGACCTGAACAACATCTGTTACGATGACGTCAGAAGATCAAAATGGAGTAGGGGGTCAAACGACAAAGTCACAAAGTCAATAACGGGTATGATCACCCTGTGCGTGAATCACAGCAGTGCATCAGCGACGCATGGAGTCCACCAAATGGGCATAGAAGGCCTGGGGAATGGCCTGCCATATCCTCCTCAAATCCTGTGCCAAGTCACGGACGTTATCTGGAGGATGTGGAAGACGACGCAGACGGCGCTCCATTTCATCCCACACATGCTCCATTGGGGAGGGATCTGGAGAAATTGCAGGCCATGGCAGTAACATGACATTGTTATGGTGAAGGAAATCCATTGCGACCCTAGCCGTGTGAGGACGAGCGTTGTCCTGTTGAAATGTCAACCCCGGGCCATGACGTTGCAGGAAAGGAATGACCACAGGCCTCAGAATCAACACCGGTGCCGTGTTGTTATCCCACCCCAAATCATAACAGAGCCACCTCCAAAACGATTCCTCTCCACAATACAGTTGCGTGCATAACGTTCTCCCAAACGCCGGTAGACACGTTGGCGCCCGTCACTGTGGGGAATGTTGAACCTCGATTCATCTGTAAAGGCAACATTTCTCCACCATATTCGAGGTTGGCGAACATGATTTCGACACCATCTTAGACGGTTGACGCGATGACGGTGTGTCAGGATGGGACGTATGGCAGGGCGTCGTGGTCGAATCCCGTACTGACGTAAACGATTCCTGACAGTGTTGGGATGGATACGGCGCAGTCCAGGAATTGTCTGGGACGTCGTTACTGCCGTTTGGAACCTGTGTCGGAGATGTGTAACTCGAATCCATCTGTCCTGTCTTGGCGTCGTTACTCGGGGACGTCCTGAACGTGGGTGGTCGGCAAGATCATTTGTGTTCTGATAACGCCTCAACAATGCCGATATCGTGTTACGATGGCATTGGAAATGTGTTGCCACCTGTTGTTGCCTCATTCCCGCTCGGATCATTCCAATGGTTTCATGACGCTGTGCAGCTGTCAATCTTGGCATGACTTGCTTGTGATATGCTTGTGTCTGCGCCTGAGAAGTTTTGAATTTTTGAATGACCACAGATCATGTTTTCCAAAGTGACAGCGAATTTTGAGTTGCACATGCTGTGTACAGCTGCACAGGATGCACGTGCACTAACACATTGCACGTCCATAGGCCCCCATCAATGACGCCATATCGCATGGCACGTGCATTAGCGTTTGAATGTCTCCAATAATTGCTCTGTTCAAACCTATCTTTCATATATGGGTGGTGTGCCCTTATATCTTTATTTTCTCCGTGCACAGTTTCTTTATGTGGCTAGTATACATTCAAAGAGTCCTCGTTGAAAACCCAGTGTCTTGACTGTGTGTTTTCTCACCGACCTTAGCATATAGGGGTGTGATGTCCGGGGCAGTCAAGGACAGTGTTTTGACCTCTTTTCGTTCATTAATGTCCTCCCGTATTAACCTTTACACATTCGTGTTAATCCAAGATATGATGTTTTCTTGGATTGGATGTTCACGAATGTCAAAGGGATGACACTTTAGTGATTGTAACTGGTTGTAGAACTATTATGATGAGCCAGGAGACATGCGCACTGGCCTTTTCCTGTAAAGACAGGTCGTTTAGTAAGGTCATGTTGGCTGACCGCATTATGTCCTTTCTCTCTCTGCACATTGTCCAACAGTGGTGTTCGCAGTGGAATGGCAAAACCAACATGAAGTTTACGAAGAAGTGAGTTAACAGCTCGTATTTACTCTTTGGCGTACAGGAGGCACTGGTGGCCCAGTCGTCTAAGGCGCTGCGATTCGCTGTGCAGAATTGCGTCCCTTGGGCACGTCAGAAACCTATGATTGTGGGTTCGAATCCCGGTTCTCCACGATTATGTTTCTAGGTTTGACAGCACGATACCCGTGCTCGTGGGTTTCACCGAAGTGGTAAACGCCTGAGACCTGCATCAATTCGGGCTTTCCTCCCACATTGAGTTGACACGCCGTGATACAGGTTACACACAACCAAATGTTTTCCCATAGACTTCTATAGTAAGGTTATATCTTTTTTGTAAATAACTAGGCATTCAACAGCCATTACATTTACATATATGCACAGTCTGGCCTTAAAGCTGCAATAAAAACACAAATTTTGGCTAGGTTAGTCAGCTCCTTTTCCGAGTACAGGAAGCTGAACACACCACCCCAGTTCCGCACCAAATGTCGCCTACTTGAAAATGTCTGTGCTCACATAAAGCACAAGTCATCTTGTTAAAAAAGTCAGCACCAAATATTGAAAAATATGGGCAGTTTTAATTGCTGGATGGATGTACATTTAAAAGACATAAAAATCTTACACAATATCATCCAATCACAGCCTGCAGATGTCTCTTGATCTGCACTGAAGGCTCCCTACGAAAACCGCACTGTCACAACCAGTTCTGATTTGGTGTAGTAGAACCTGTAGACACAACTGTCTAAAACTGCACTTGTCAAATTTGTGATGTATTTATTGTAAATATATGTAGCTTCTTAGAAACAAATGGAAATTGGCTCAAGTTCAATACTTTTTCCTATCTGACAGGTCTATATGACACCAGTATACACATATCTGATGCACCAAAAGAGCTGTGAGGGTTAAATTATTTAGATTTTGTCAACTCATAACAAAATGCACTTCTGTATTAATAAAGAATTTCCCATGACAGTACACAGGCCTTTATTGTTTATTCTTGTTTCACACAAGGAGGGGCTCACAGGTCAATTCCATGGTTGCCAGACGTGGCTTCGAACATATCACCCCAAAAGTATCTTTTCGACCCTGTATGATAGACAATACTGGGAAATTCAAAACAAATTAGGCATTCATATTTTAAATTTATTAATGGTGAGTTGTTTGCTGATCTGTGCTGATGACAACTGAGGATAGCAAAGTCTGATACATAACATGGAATTTGGTTGTGACACTAATGAGCTTAAGTCATAAAAGAGGCTGGACTCAGTGAGCTTGCTGGAACTGGTACCCCTGCATTGTTTACATAGGCCAATATATAAATGACAGGTCCATATTTGGTATTTTAACTATGGGAGGGCAAGAACCAATGTTGATGCTTTCATTCCAAAGAAAAATTCATAGTGTCAGCATCTTGGACCAACTTTGGAAACATGGGGAGATATCGAAAGAAAGTGAAAACA